TGATACTTTATCTCAGTTATTACTAATTATCTACTGTAATAGCAGGGGTCTGCAAAAGGTTAGCAACTGTGTCTTACCATATAATTTACATATCTTTGAAACCCTGTTATTTTAAAATTGATGGAATTTCTGTGCCTACACCTGAAATTATAAAGCATCAAGGTAAAGAATTTTATGAATATTTTTATTTTATTAGATATGTTTGAATGTTAAATTTATTGCAGTTTTATGTATATATTCTTGTAAATTTTCTCTGCAGAAATTTAAATAAATTTGACTTAACACCAAATAATATATATCAACTTCATTTAAATGTACTCTGTTTATAGTATGCCAACCTCTGTATGGCATACTAAACTGGGAATTCCCATTGTCACCTCATTTTACTGAATGTAAGAATAATTTTGAAGTTCTTCCTAGACAGTTACTTATAGAAATATGAATTCAGAGTTGAAAGTGCCATAAGTTAGTATCTTCATATATATCATTAAGAGGGGAGCACACTGATGGGTCTTCCCTTAATGCTCCTGAATTCTGCCGAACACCTAGCAGTCTTTGGCCATGCCGTTGAAATCTGCAGTCTCCGTATGATAGCTTCCAGATTTGGCACGGAGAAAGAGAACCAAGCCCTGGTCCCATGAATTTACAATACTTTATTCTGTATCCCACGAACCTTTATTGCCTTATGTTTAGTTATCAGGAAGAGTCCTTTACATGTGCATTGAAGACCTTATTATCTGAGCAATCCCAAACACCCTCTTCCAAAAGTCGTATATCAAACACTGCACAGTTCTCTGTTTGAGGGTGTTGAGGAAAAGCATTTTACTGAAGGATCTCTGAGTGTGTCAGCGAAGGGGTGGGGACAGCAATGAAGTCTGATGCCTGTGGCCTGACTGGGATCTTCCCGACTCCCAGCCATCAAAAGCCAGTTCCCTTTTATAGCTATTGTATTTATATCTGAAGAAGTGTGGCTTGTCATCTCTGTGTGATTTCTTGTTTTATTTTGCAATGAAATGATAATAATTCAGAAGCCAAAGTTGAGTTTAATATCCACAGAGCCAGGAAGAGAAAAGGACCTAGTACATTATATTTCTCACACTATAAATATAATAGGTCTTCGAAGAGAATGCTTTACATTATGTGTGTAGATTGACTTAGGAAAACTTCACTTAAGTTATATAATGAAATATGGAAGCTAAAACATAACATTTTTCAGAATGTTGGAACTTGCACCCGAAGGTCATGCCATGCACTTCCTAGATATTTGAAATATTCAGGCTTTATTGTTCATGTGTTTTGAAAATAATATATTTTTAAGAAATAAAAAAATAATAGTGTTGTTAAAAATAAAACTCTCTGAAATTTGCACAAAAGGTTTATTCTGAGCAGTTATTCTGCATGAATATAGGGATGCAGTTTTGATTTCAGGAAAACCAAACTGCTGGAAGAAGCTATGTACAATGGGGTTTATAAAGAGAAGAGGAGGGGAAATATAGATCAACCAGCGACTAATGGTAACATGGCTGATTGAACCCTGCCCTCCCCTTTTACTGAGATCAATCACAAGATACTCTCTGCAGTTCCACCCAGCCATATCTTTTTTTTCTCTCCTTTAAATTTTTTTTATTGTACTTTAGGTGAAGGTTTACAGAACAAATATTTTCTCATGAAACCGTAGTACACATATTGTTTTACGACATTGATTAACAACCCCAGGACTTGTCAACCCTCCCCCTTCGTGACTTTTTTTTTTTTTTGGTAAAAATATTCATAGCGAAAGACACACC